ACCTCTAGAGAAATAACTTGTTAAACCTGGCTAGAAATTTTCTATTAGAAGTGTTAGTTGTATTAGGGTTTAGTTAAAAAAGAGGTGCTTTATCTTTGCAACTTTCATCATTTCCTCTCTTTGCTCTTCCTGTGTTTAAGGAGAGAACTATTGAGAGTCCCTTTTGTCTGGACTGTTGTCATTCTGGTTGCGGGGCCCTGTTCTTAGGACTTCTTAACTCCAGCTCCAAGGTTATCATCTCAGCAATGTCTGGATCAAAGTTGGTCGTGGTCTCAAAACCTTGTGCTTAGAATCATTACTTCTCTGCATGGTCATTGTTTTTTATCTGACTCCTTATTTTACCACTTCCAGGTTCTCTTTTCAGACTGTGACAGAATGATTTTCTACTTGTCCCTTAGTTCTTAAAGTGACTTCTCGGTTTGGATCACTATGCCTGTTTTGGTGGTGGTCAGCTAAGTCTTTTGAAGATTTATTTGTTTTGGTAATTTATTTGCACTCCACATTCCTCCTTAATCTAACATTCATTTCCTTCTTAAATTTTTTTGTGTAATAGTTTGGATATATTCACTACAGTTTAAATTCTGTGATAGCAGCATCCCCTCTCCCCAGCATATTGCCCCATTTAATAGCTATTCAATCACTGCTTACTTCTGTTTGTAGTGTAAAGGATACTGTGATGAGACCCTGGGACTTGGGCTCAGTTTCAGTTTTTCCTTAGCAAGATATGCAGTCACTTCTATAGCCAGATCACAGTCTCCTCATCTGTGAAGTAAGGGTATGGCTATGGAGATTTATGAGGTTGCTTTCAACTTTATGAGGCACTATTTGGGTCTGACTAAGACAGTAGCCAGTCAGTTGGATACCATGATTTTCTTTCACAACCTCAGTTGACTCTACAAGTTCCTGCCTTGGGTTGGGAATGGCTGGCCCATAGCTTTGCTGCGGAAGCTATGCCAGAATCCCGAGTCATCTCCTTTGGGACATCTAAGAGCAGTGGTTTTCAAACTTCTTCTGGAACAGTTGAATTACCTTCAAAGGAAGAAAGAATTTAATAAATTCCTTGTTATGTATAGAGAAAAGCTATGTTTAATGGCTAGAGAGCTGGAGAGTCTCACAAAGTAGTTTTTATAATTTGAGAAGGTATAGAAAGAATTCCTTGGCCTTCTTGACCTGCTTTATTCTTAGACCTTGTTCCTCTTGTAGCATCACCTACTCTTTTTTTTTCTTAAAATTTATTTATTTATTATGTATACAATATTCTGTGTGTGTGTGTGTGTATGGCCAGAAGAGGGCATTACAGATGGTTGTGAGCCACCATGTGGTTGCTGGGAATTGAACTCAGGACCTTTGGAAGAGCAGGCAATGCTCTTAACCTCTGAGCCATCTCTCCAGCCCAGCATCACCTACTCTTGTCCTTGCCTCCAGCCACACAGATACTAGTTCACTTCATAGACCATTTCAAATTCTCTGTAAGGATTTGAATGGCTATCTATAGTCATAATCACAGTAGTATATAGTGTTAGTTCCTTTACCTTTTTCACCCCCTCCCCACACCATCTGATTGCTATTAAAAGACTGGAGATTTTTCTGTGATAATTAAGATACCAGGTGGAGAGGTGTCTTTTTTAATTCATTTGGGTTTTGTCACTCTTTGTTGCAGTTTCTTCTGATGAAATAGCATTACAATTAGTTTTATCAACTCTGTGACTGATTACCTGACAAACAACTTTAGGGTTCATTTGACACATTATTTCAGTATTAGCAGAGCAGAGCAGTTTTTGACACAGCATCCAGGAAGCAGAGTGGACGAATAACATGAAGGGGCCAGGGCAAGATACTGCCTACAGGATACAAGGCGAGTGTTAGATGTCCCCTAACCAAGTCCCACCTTACCCTATCCTAGCACCTCCCAATAGTCTTTTGAGATTTGAATTTTGTTAATGTGTTAAGTCAGTGGATCAACCACAGAGGCCTCTATATAGATGTCCTCAAAGAGCTCTCCAGAGCTGTGCTTTGTTTTAATCTCATGAATGTGAATCAGTCAAGTTGATTGATTAAGCAAAATTAACCATTGCAAATAGCACGAATAATTGTAGTTCATGGTTAAAAATCTTTCAAAGGGGATCTCAAGATCTTAATGCTTAAATTTAGTAGTGAAAACATTTAAGGAAACAAGAACACCTATTTTAAAACACACTGAAGACCAATATCTTTCATGAACATAAAAACAGTCTTAGCCAAATATATGCTCATAGCATTTCATTTTTAGTATCTAGAAGTCTGTAATGATGCTCCTGCTTTTTGTTCTTGGGATTAATAGGTGGAGGGGTTTTTACTTATTTTTTTAGTGTGTGTATGTGCATGTGAGCATGTGCATGTATGTGTGTATTTTTAAAACCATTTTTGTCAGGTGTTTTAACTGCTGTGTGTAAAAGAATTGGTTTTTGGTTTCAATACTTTCCTCCCATTTTTCTGCTTTCCATTTCATTGTTCTCAGCTCTTAGTTATTACTATTTGATTATTCCCTTCTTCCCTTCTAGCTTTAACTATATTTTGCTCCTTTCTAGTTTCCTTAAGTAGAAACTCGGATCATTGCTTAGGGGTCTTCCTTTGTTTCACATAGAAAGAATTAATGCTATACATTTCCCTCTATGCACAAGTTTAGCTGTATCACATTTTGACATGCTATATTTTTATTTTGTTCAATTCAAAATTGTTTTCTTTACCCATATGTTAGAAGTATGTTTAATTTCCAAGTAATTGGACATTGTCCTTTTGCCTTTCTGTTGTTTTTGTTTAAGTTCATCATGAACAGAAGCCATACTTTGTATTAGTTTAATTATCTTGAATTTATAAGGCGTTTTCAAAGCATAGTCTATCTTGTTAAGGGTTTTGTTTTCCTTTTAAAGAATGCATATTCTGTTTTTGTTGGTTTGAGTGTTTTATAAGTAATAGGTTCAGTTTATTGGTAGTTTCCTATTTCTGTATAACTGAGGGTAGAATATTGATTTGTTCAAATAGAGTTGTGCAATAGAAAACTCAATTGTTAGCCTCATCTAGTTTTCAACTTGATTTTCTTTGGGATTATTATAGATTAATTTAATTCAACTTTTGTGATTATCCTATATAAGGTAATAATAATATATTTTGAAATCGTGGGTTTATATAGCTTTGAAACATTTTCAGTCAATATATTGTCAGCTTTTTTTTCTCAACTGAACTGCACAGTATCCTTTCTCTCCACCTCTCTCCTGTGCAAAGTGGCAGACCTTCTGACATTTGAACCTTTATTTTGCTTTGTTTCAGATAGTTTATCTCTTTACTGTTCAGATGAGCTAACGTTTAGATCTGCCAGATTTTGTTTATTTGGTTGTTAGGTTCTCAAATTTTCAACAGTTCTTCCTTATATCTTTCTACTTTTCTGATTGGCATGTGTTATCTTTTTGTGTTGAATAATACTAATTTCATCTGGGATATTTTGAGTATTATGTTATGAGACTAGATCTTATAGAGGATTGTGTTTTCATTTTAGCCCACAGTTGACAGTTGACAGGGTTATTAGTCCCCAGGAGCAATGGCTATTTTACCTTCAGTAAGCTGTGGCCAGTACCATTTGCATGTCTGCTGTTGATGGCCAACCTGGAGTCTCAGCAATTCACTGCCAATTCTTTGGTAGGTTATTTCTGATGAGAACTACATGTCCAAGCCTGAGATCTAGGCCTTGGGCTTTATAAACAATTAAGAGGGTGGTTAGTTTCCTAAGCTCCTCCTTCTTGATGATTTTTTTGAGATCCTTCCAGTTCTACCATCTTTTTTAATTTTAATTTTTAATTATTTATATTTTTGGCATTTGACCAGAAACTTTGGACTTTAGTTGCTGTCTTCTGGCATGAACTGCACAACAGTGTCTACGTTTCTGTAGCCAAATGACTGGACAACAAACTATAATGGGATTCAGCCCCACTTTCTTGGAACCATGGTTCTGCTGAACCCAGAGAAAGGTTTTGTTTTAGCCTTGCAGACTTCTCTTGGGGCTGGCTGTCATCTACACCGCTGGAATACTTGGGGATAGAAGCCTGAGACAGCAGGGGGAAGGAGAGCAATGGATGCTACAAATATCAGCAATTCTCTTTCATGGCTAGAGCCAGAGAACTTTGGGCAGCTCATCTTTTTTCCCTCTGCCAGCAGCCAGTGTCTGGCAACAGCGTGTTAAGCCTGGACTTGGGCACACACATTGTTGTTGGTATTTCAAGTTCTGGTTGTCTTTCCTAGGGCTGCCGCTACTGTTGACTTTGCAGAGCCCTCATGTAATTGCTCCAGGTTTTGTAATTGTAAATCCTGGTTAAGACAGGGGACAGAGCGTGCTGATTGGGAGATTGACAATGGTGTGAGACATATGGAGGACATGAACTACTCCTTGACTCTAACTCTCCCAAGCTTTACATCTTTGCTTGAAAAGCATTTCTACAATCTACATTTTAAAAAAAATGGGTAAAGCTGTGGGTACTGCTATCCCCAAACATCCCTAGTCCATCAGCCCATGAAACAAAACCTTAAAAACCTCACTGGAATGGATAAGTTTGTTATTTTTTTAATGTCTCTTACCTGTTCATTTAAGCAAAGAGACCAGGAGTGTAGCTTAGTGGTAGAATTCTTGCAAAAAAGCAAACATGCCAAAAAGCCCTTTATTTCATTCAGAGCAAACACACACACACACACACACACACACACACACACACATGGTGGGGGAGGGAGAGACTTTTTCAAAGTGAAAAATTATACAGAGATTTTTTTCTCTCTCTCCCTCCTTCTGTTCTAATGCCTCACTGAAGATTGAACCACCTTTTTTTTTTTTTTTGAGACTCGATCCTCCTTGCTCTAGCCTAGGCAGCCTTTGAACTTAGGATCTTTGTGTCCAGCCTTTCAAGTAGCTGGGTCTGTAGGCATGCACCAATCAAGCCCAGGCAAAGTTAAGAATTTCTGAAATCTTTTCATTCCAGCCTAGAAGAAGGACCATGGAGATGATGCTCTGTACAAATCCAATCCAGCAGATTCACTCTCTGGCAATGAACAGGTACCTCTTTCACGAGAAGAGCTTGGTTGTACATAAATTATATAGAGAGTCCTGTTTGGGATTTGGAGTTTTAAATATGCTTATAATTTCTTTAGATGTGATTATTGTGACCATAACTAAAATAGTTTAGTGGGTATCTGGGAATAAGCTTCTCTCAAAGTTTCAAGTAAGATGGAAATCCCACCCTTAGCAGTGAACGGGGAAATGGTTTTAGGTGTTCCCAGGGTGGTGAGGGATAGTCAAAGACCTGTTGTTCCTGGGTTGGGGGCAGGAAGCCCGGTTGTGGAAGTGAGAATGGAATCTTTTAGGGAGTGAGGATTTGCATTTCCAGGAGCAGGGCGGGCTGTACAGTGGGATAGTCTGGCTCCAACTTGAGCCCACTCACAGGATGTCAGGGGAAGTGTGTCTAAGGTCATGGCCACGCCACGTGGCAGACCAGCTGGATTCAAAGCAGGAGCCTCTGGCCACACATCCTGAGTTTCCATGGTCTAATGTAGAAGGATTGAAAGAGGGTGGATGCAGGATGCTGGCATGGGCTGTACAGTGCGTGGGCAGTAAGTCTTAAGTGGCAGTGGGTGGAGATCATAGCATTTCATCTCCTTTCCTTTGACACCTTTTAAAGATACAACCTACAGTATCCAGAGTCTTATGCCAGTGTCTGCTTACAGGGCTCTTACAGAGATCTTTGATCTTTTGTGTTCTTAGGAGCAAAAGGGAAATTTTTATTTGGATACCATTTACAACAAGTGTGGAGATGTAAGTTTAGATTGAGAATTTGTCCTTTACTATTCAGCAGTTTTATTGGGGATGATTTAAAAAACCCTTGTGTAATTTTCAGATGTGGATGGCTGTACAGGATACAGTAGATTTTTTTTTAACTTTTCCTTAGAGAAGGGCTGTTCAGAATGTTTAGTGGGTTGAGTTTCAGAATTTCAGCAGCTTTATGGTGTCATGCAGTTTGACAGACTGAATTTGCACTTAGAGGAATGGAATGTATTTTTAATCATGGGAATTTATTGTGCCTAAGGAACATAGGAGAGAATGTCAGATTTCAACTGTAATTAATATTTCACTGGTGACTTCAACTCTACAGCAGCTAAACTTTACATTTAGGAAGCGCTAAAAATGGCTCAAGTCAAAGCCGAGTATAAAATGTGAAGGGTCTTAGAAAAATCAGTTTAGAGTTCTTACACTTCCTTTATGCATTTAGTATCTCAGAAAGATCTCCGGCCTACCTAAATTCTTAATTTTGAGAGAAAAATATATTATGAAAAACTATAAATGTTCAGTCTTTTATGGCTCCCCAATAAATTATACAATATGCTGGGAGGAATGAGGGAGAGGAGTGAGAATCACCATAGAAACTAGGGTAGGCGTTTCTAAGTACTGGGGGGGGGTGCATATGAGCTGCTATTATTAGGCATCCTTATTGAAGGTGCTGTATTTTTATGACTGCCTGGGAGTGTTCATTGAAGTGATAAAGACACTTGAAGCATTTATTTACTTCAGGTTCTTTCTAAAACTTAAGAATACCATTTCTTCTATTGAGAAAAATGCTAGAAGGTAGCAGTATGATCTTTAGTTGTATTATTTTGGACGTAATGCCATATTTGGAATTTATGAGTGTGCCTTGGAAATAGGTGCCTGGAAGACAAATCTCAAGGAATAGAAACTGAAGTTTACTATCATTAAGGATTTAGGCATGAGCTGCCTTTAAAAAAAAGTTTTTTTGGCTATGATGAACTTTTTCTCAAGCTGTTTTCCAGTCATCTGTTGGGTTTCTTCCACTTTGCCTAGAGCTCTTTGTCATGAGGTGATAATTAGCTAGTGACCAAGTCTGCATTCAGTATAATTTGCATGAGGTACGTAAAGGCCATTATTAAATTGCCTCCAAGCCTTGGATAACACAAAGCTCTAAAGAGATTGTTAGTGAGCATAAAAGCCAGTGAGATGGCAGAGACAGAACTATATCATACTATAAGGACACTGCTTTGTGAACATCACATGCCTTTACTATAGGCCAGTTGTTAAAAACATTTCCTTTAAAATGATTTATTTATCCATTTTTATGTGTGTATGCTCTTGTGATTTTATGGCACCTATAACTTATAGGGCTAAGGATGTAGTTCAGTGGTCAGACACTTGCCTAGAGTACACTATCGTTAGCAACACTATAGACACTTGCCTCAAAACCCACAAAAGCAAAACAAAGAACCAAATGGAAGAAAAAGAAAGAAAAGATACTGTACCTACACAGTAACACAACTTCATTGAATAGCTGTGTGTAATTTCAAGAGGCTCCAAAATCCCACGACAAGGTGCAGAGATGGCAAAATTTGAGAGTTGATAGCCTCGCTTGGTTCACTTTCTAAACCCACTCCTTGTTCTTGCTAAGCTTGCTTCAGTCTGTCTCTTCTCATAGTGGAGAATCCTCATAGGGCAATTTTCTTTCCTGCAGGGTAGCATGTCTTCAGTGATCCAGTAGACAGTGTTTTATGCCATTGTCCCTCTGGAGTTCCAGAAGATAACCTCAGAGGTGATGGGGACAAAAAGGGCTTGGGGCAAGCATATAATCTATTTCCAGTTTCTGCCTTCTCCTAAAATGTGATTCTGATTCTAATCTTCTTGATAGCTATGTTGGCAGCACCTTAGCTTTTCTTGCCCTCAAATTTTATAGTACTGTTGGTATTCTAAGGATATGTAACATTCCTCTGCTCTGTTTTTGTGATTTTCCTGAAAAGTTTTTATTCTAATTCTGGAAAATTCCAAGGTTACACATCCTATAGTCAGTAGTAGGGTTGAGTAGAGCTGGCATTTGGCCTGAGCATTCTGTGTTCTGAACCCCATTTGACTGTCCTTATCTGGGGTTAACTAATTCAGGTACCCCATCTTTGTATGTGTGTCCTTGATATTAACCTAAGAATTTGGAGGCTGCTTTTCATAGCCAATACCTGGAATATAGCATTCTTAAAGTCAAAAATGTTAATTTCATGTGCAGTACATTCTTTCTGGACCTCAAGATGCTTGGTTTGGAAAGATTTGATGTCCTCAGCTACCAAAACCTCTGCTCAGACTTTGTTGTATAGCTACAGATGGATCCTACCTGGTGCTTGCCAACTCTCTGGGAGGTACCCCTTAGTGCTATTCCTGCTTATTGGAGTCCTCAAGGTCATTCATGGAGACATGTTCAATCTCTAGTTCATGAGACAGATTTGAATAAGTCATATACCTAGGTGTCTTCAAGTAATGTATGCTGCTTTGGTTGTTGTGTCTCTGAAGTAGTATTCAGTTTCAGTTATCAATGTGCTTTTGCTCAGAGTTTGTCTTTTTTAGTAAAGCTAAGCACCATTCACTGATTGCTCACAGCTCTGCTGACCACTTGCAGTTTAAGGTTTGCTAGATACTTCAGTCTATAGCCATAACCTATTAGATTATTCTGGGTTATATTACCAACAAAGCTTTTTGTGGCATTGCCTTATAAAACGTGCATTGAGGTTGTTGACTCCCTTTGGCCAGTGTGGCAGCAGCAACAATAAGCAGCCATACAGGAGATGAAATTACCTAAGTCTGAAGAGAGGGTCTTAAACAGACTTGTGATATAGAAGGTAGATGAGCTTGGAAGGAAACCAAACATGTACCAATATACCTCCAAGGCTGCTCTGACTTAACTTCTCATTTTGCCTTATCAGAGATGTAAAGAGTAGGCTCCTGCAATTGACCTGTCTGTGTTCACTCATCTCTTCTACTACCCACTTCTTCCTGAAGCCTCTGTTCCAAAGTTATCCCTCAGGGAAACCTGGAATGCCTCTCTGTCCTGTGCTCTGTAGGCCTCCCTCCTGCACATCCGCTGTCCTTGAGCAGAGTCCTGCTTTCCAGGATGTCTTTGCAACTACATTTTTTCTCGTCTCTCTTATTCCGTACTTAATGACTGATTATAAACACTTAAAATCTGTGGTGCCTCTGAAACTTGTGATTCCCACAACTTGACAAATGCTCGGCAGCCCCTGTACCCACCCTTGCTCCCACTCCAAATGTTTAGTGGATTAGGGAACAGAAAGTACCTAAACAGAGTGCTCAATCAAGGGCTCTTCTGTTTAGGGTACTTTTACCCCTTGAGTTAATATTTAGAACATCTGCATGGTGCATGTATGTGTGTGCAGGTACGTGTGCATGTGCCAGAGGATGGCCTTGTCACTTCTCCAGCACCATCCAATTTTTTGATGCAGGGACTCTTACTGGCATGTAGCTGTCTTAAGTAGACTAGGCTAGACCATGCTCATCGTGAGTCCTAGAGAGCCAGGTGTTCTGGCTTGCTCAGCACTGCGATTACCTATTGGTGCAACAATGCTTGACTTTCTTTACATGGGCTCTGAATGAATGTAGGCCCTGTGCTTGCAAATGAAGTACCTTTGAACTGAACCATCTACTCAGCTACAGAACCTTTTGTTTCCTTTGAGAGAGAAAGAGAGAGAATTAAATATGAATTGGAAATTTCTTTTAGGCTTTACAGTAGGCACAGAACAAGATGTGGCAAAATTGGGCTGGAGAATATTGTTTTTGTTACATAGGAAATTTGAGATTATGAGTTTGGAGAATGCTGATTGAAAAATAAGTCCTAGTAACTTGGAAGAGTCATTGAATTGAAGGCTGAGGATGTGGAAGCTAAGTCATCCAGTCTGAGAACAGATGTGGTTTATTTTATATAAACCCAACATTAATAGATAGTTTATCTTGGTTAAGATTTATCGCTATTATTCAGGCAGATTTGCTGATAGGTAAACTCGGATATACAAATAAATTGTCATCCACAAAGAACTCATTACTAATTAAAATTTCCAAATTGAACAGTACAAAGAACCCAAGAAGCTTAAAAGCCTTGGCATATTCGAAGCTGTTTTGAAATAATTTATTAGAGACCCCATTAATGGTACTAGTACAAAATTACTATCCTATAAATAAAAATGAACTTTGGAAAAGCTAGCAATATGATAAAAGCACTG